ATCACAATGGCACCTGACTTTTCAATAGCAATACTAGACACTAGAAGACAACAGGAAAAATCCTTCACAATATGAAGGATTATAAGTTGAAACTAGAAATCTATGTCTACCCAGACTGCTAATCAAGTGTGTAAGTAGAATTATGGACATTTTGAGGCATGTGCAGTGTTTTAAAAATTCACCTCTACTCACCATTCCCAGAAAACAACTGGAGGATATCCTCTGCCAAAATGAGGAAGTAAATTAAGAAACATTCGAGACTTGGAACCGGGAAGAAGAGACTCGCACGCAGGAGACAGAGATGGAGAGAATGTCCCGGTGAGGGTGGAGACAGTCCTAGGGCACGGGCTGTGCAGCAGGCTCTCCAGGGCAACCAGAACAAACACAGCAGGAAGCTGCAGAGTTACTGGAAAACAAGAAGTGGAGACGTTAATTATCTAACAGCTTTTACAATGTGGTAAGTTGTTTTGACAGGCATTTCATGGAGCAATGAAAGGTTGTGGAAAATCATAGATGTTCCAAGAAAACTGGGCAGTTGAAAATGTGAGGCTATCATTAACTTGAGGAAAAACAAAAAGTTCTATCAGAACTCTTAGCTCAGCTTAGGGTTATGTAGATTGGCCATAAAAACTATTGACCCCATAATAATTAAAACATGGAAGATAAAATTGAACAAAGGGTAAATATATAGTATTTTATCTAAAAAGTTGAGATACACAGTAAACAAATTAGAAAACAGAAGAGAAGAAGCCACATGAGTTATAATCCTCATCTACAAAAATAAGTCAGATAATGATGTCTAAATCTGATAAATGATACATAGTATATTATGACATATTTATATTACTTAAAATTATAGAGGCAAACAGACTAGAAGAAACAGCCAAAACGGTGGAGAGTGGCTGCCTCTGGGTGGCAAGAGGGAAATACAAAGGATTGAGGTTTCTTTTATTATAAGCTTTAAAAGCAGTGTTTGACTGTCAAAAATAGTTGCACAAGATACTTAGATTAAAATATATATATATATGTAAGGTTAAAAACAGTCGTGCACTGGGGATGGAGGTGCGGTTCAGGGTAGAGCTTTCCACACTAGGAGCAGAGTCTTCTGGCCAACACCTGAAGGTGCTGTGTGGTCCTCATGCTATGTTGTCTCCATGATGCTTCCCAGGACTACTCTCTGATACAAGTCAGGGCCTGGGAACTTCCCCAACGGTTTCATAAACTGGATTTAATGCAAACATCCCAGACTAAGAGAACTTCAGATGTCGGTATTGCATGTGTCTCAATTTTTGTCACCAAACTGCTATTTTGCAGTATAAACAAGAAGAAATCAGACATGTAGACCTACATGCTGTTCCAGCAGTAAATGGAAACGCTCCTCCCAGCTGCTGCTGTCACCACAGACTGAGGGAAAGGGGGAAGACATACAGGCATGTGAGCGGAGGCTAGGGTTTGGGAATTGGCGATGGACTTTTCTGGGATGAGTCTGTGTTAGAATCAGTTGCTGGTCTTACTCTCTAGAAACAAGTAGGAACTTCCAATGTGCTGCAGGACTGCCGGGTGTGACTACCAACATGAAAGGTGCTTATTAGACACCTACAACAAGGAGGGGGTATAGCTCAGGGGTAGAGCATTTGACTGCAGATCAAGAGGTCCCCAGTTCAAATCTGGGTGCCCCCTACTGCACTTTTTCTATTCATACAAGCTATTTATGTTCTTCACAGAAGCTGTTGGTCATATTCCAGTTTCTTTTCATCCATTCCACTTATGATTTTCCCTGGAACTGGAAGCTACAGGTCAGGCCAGCCCAGCTGCAACCTGGCTGGATAACTTCTTCCCCTCTCTTCCTGCACCAGCTCCATAGGTATCCCTCATATTCTTGGTATCTAGCTCCCTCTCCCCCTATATATGTAATTTCTCCAACTCGATTGGATTCTCAAATAGAAGGTGGAGGTTGTGATGCAGAATGCTTCTGGGGTTTTCCAGGGCAGACCAGGTAGTTGTACTACAGCAGACACCTAGAAACATACAGCGAATGGTACCCCAAGTTATCACCCTACTGCTTCCTTCCCACAGCAGCAGTTTGGTGTACTGGAGTGGTGGCCAGACCAAGGGAGAAACATCATAGCACCCGGCACTTCCATGCAGGGTAGATATTTTCCCCTGGATAATTGCTTTCTCCCACGCCAGGGCTCACAACCTTGCTTCAACCTTGTAGGCCAAAAGCCTGGCTCAGTTACTCCAACAAGGGAGACAGAGGTTCTGCAGTGCTGCTTCTACAGACTCAACTCCTGTAGCTCTGTGGCTGCATCTGAATTACAGCCCACTCTGTGACTGTGGCCCAAAGCTTAAAGGCGGAGGATTAGACTCAAGAGTCTGTTCATACGAGATGATTTAGAATTCCAACTTCATTATGTGAGCCACAGGGGGTCCTGTATACTGCAATGAAGAACCAGATCATGTCCTTTGTCTAAGGAGATCATTTAGGAGACATTACAGAGACTGGAGTTTACCAAAAGACAACGACAGGAACTGGTGTTATTTTTTGAATGCCTACTACACCCTACTATGTGCTAATATCACGCTAGGCAGTTTATCTCAGTTATAATATTTGTCTCCTCTGTCTTCACTGTAGTAAAAAGGGAGCTGGGCTGGAAGCTCAGGTCAGAGTCCATGGACTGTTTTGGTGACTAGTGGCCAGTCCTTGGGTTAACCCCCAAAAACACTGGGAAATAGTTGGGGATTCTGCAGGCAGCTTCCATCCTCTTCTCCTGCTCATGGCTCCACCCAAGGATAGGCCTGGTGAACTGCAGAGCTGAGGGAAGGTGTCTTGCTATGAATCAGGTCTGGCAGCTTCCAGAAAGTCTTTTCAGAAAGTCAGATATAATACATCTCATATTGGCATGTGTCACAATGATGTCCCTTTTATCTGTATGAGGTTTACCTCCTCAATCCCATTGTAATCATTCAGTTGCCCAGAAGGCTGCTCTGTCTTGGAATCCCACCCGCTCATTAGTACAGTGTACTCAAAGCAGGTCTCAGAAATTGCTGAGTGGCTAGCCCTTCCGACCTCCCTAGCTACTCTCTCCACACTCCTCCCCTCCAGCCCTAACCTCCACCTTCTATCCCATGCTCCTGGTCAAGGAGAAATGCTCCTTGTGTTGGTCCAGAGCCAGCCACAGTGTGATGAGCTGCATTTGTGAATTCCCAGATTCCTCACTGGCAAGCTAAGGTTTGTGGGGTAGGGACCTCAGTCTCATGAGGCTGTGCTAACAAGGCTAACAAGGACAAGCAGGATCTGGAGGCGAATACTTAAGGAGGCTGAGGCTACAGGAGGGTCACAGCTGAGGCACAGTCATTCACTCAAATGTCACCTATTGAAGAGGTACCAAGCAGCTTGCCCTGCTCTAAATTTACGAAGATAATGTGTTCCTTGCATACATCTGGCAGCAGCGGGAAAACCTCAGAAGTTCCTGTGGGATGTCTGATTTTTATTCCAGGAGGAAGCCTTCCTGGATGCTCACTGGGGTGTGTGAGTTGAGTGACACTTGGCATAAGGTGCTCAACCTCTGCTGGGCCTCAGTTTTTGCATCCGTAAAATGGAAGATGATCATACCACCTCATAGGTTTTTTTGTTGAGAATTTAAAGCACTTACAATGCCTGGTGGCTCATGCCTGTAATCCCAGCACGAGGCCAAGGTTCGCGGATCACCTGAGGCCAGGAGTTCGAGACTAGCCTGGCCCACATGGTGAAACCTCCATCTCTATTAAAAATACGAAAATTAGCCAGGTGTCATGGTGAGTACCTGTAATTCCAGCTACTCAGGAGACTGAGGCATGAGAATCGCTTGAACCCAGAAGGCGGAGGTTGCAGTGAGCCAAGATCATGCCACTGCTCTCCAGCCTGGATGACAGAGGGAGACTCCATCTAAAAAAAAAATAAAAATAATAAAAAAATGAAGAGTAAGGAGCAGGCAAGGGGATTTAAAAACAGATTTTTTTTTCTTTGAGATAGAGTTTCACTCTTGTTGCCCATGCTGGAGTACAATGGTGTGATCTCAGCTCACTGCAACCTCTGCCTCCTGGGTTAAAGTGATTCTCCTGCCTCAGTCTCCCGAGTAGCCTGGGTTACAGGTGCTTCCCACCATACTGAGCTAATTTTTGTTGTTTTAGTAGAGACGGGGATTTGCCATGTTGGCCACACTGGTCTCAAACTCCTGACTTCAGGTGATCCACCTGCCTCAGCCTCCCAAAGTGCTGGGATTACAGGCTTGAGCCACTGCACCCAGCTGAGAGATTTTTCAGTCTGCAGTCTAATGCACTAGATCCAAGCTGTTATTTGACCTGTCACCCAACAGGTAAATAACTGTATTTCTCTGACTAGTGATCTTCCCTCCCTTTCCCTCCTCTCCCTTTTCTTCCCTTTCCTTTTTCCTTACCTGTCCTTTAGTACTTCCGAGAGTGTCTTACTCAGCTCAGGTCCAGCTAAGGCTGGAGTATCGTGGCAGGATCATAGCTCACTGAAGCCTCCAACTCCTGGGCTCCAGCAAGCCTCCCACCTCAGCCTCCTGAGTAGCTAGAACTACAGGTACGAGCAACCGTGCCCAGCAAATTATTTTTATTTTTTAATTTTTTGTAGAGAGTGTAGGTCTCACTCTATCACTCAGACTACAGTGCAGTGGTATGGTCATGGCTTACTGTAGCCTCAAACTTTTAGGCTCAAGTAATCATCCTGCCTCAACCTCCCCAGTAGGTAGGACTAAAAGCCCATGCCACTGTGTCCAGCTTTTTAATTTTTTACTTTCATAGAGATGGGGTCTGGCTGTTTCCCAGACTAGTCTAGAACTAGCCATCTCAAGCAATTCTCCCTTCTCAGCCTCCGAAGAGCTAGGATGACAGGCATGAGAAACCACACCCAGCCACAATGAGTATATTTGCAATGTTGAAACCACAGTTATGACATTGCCATCTTACATAAGCAGGGTTGACCTGCCCCAGTGAAAATGCATCTCTTCCTGCTGCCTACTTCCCTTCCACAAAGGTCATGGAGCCCTCAGCTAGCAGCCCTGCAGCCTCCTCTCCCTCATCTTTCTCCCTCTGGGTGAGAACAAAACCTCAGAGAGCTATTGATCTGTATGGAGTCAGCAGTCAACCCTCTCAATTAAATTTCTCAAATATTTAGTGTACCAAGCAAGAGGCCAGCCTTTGCAGAGGGATACACAGATGAGTGAAATCTAGCCCCAATCATCTCTGTTCTTTCTTACAAACTCCGAATCTAGAGAAAAGAAGTGATGTGCAAAATAAAATATTAGCTGTGATGGAAAGCAGTGCGGACTACAGCCAGGCTACATTCAGGTGTGGACTTAGTGACAGCTCCTCCAGAGAGACAGAAAGGGTTGGGGACAG